TCCCAGCCCCTTCCTCCGTCCCACCCTGCAGTTCCTCTCCCCTCCCCATTCAACCCCCCCCCAGGCCTTTACCGAGGAGGGCACCCTGTTGACGGTCCAGTTGCTACCCCTGCCACCCTCCTGGGCCTTGGGGAGACTCTGGCATCACCGTCCACTGCAGATAGGGAAACTGAAGCCCAGACCAAGGCGCTGGCACAGACTCCCAGGCTGGGCCCCATCCACATAAACTCAGAGCTCTAGGCCACCCAGGCTGCCTGTCGGAGCCTGAGGCCTTTCCCTCCCGCCCAGCCCTTCCCTTGCCCCCTCGGACCCCTCTGAGCTCCAGCTGAGCGTGACGGACGGCTTCCCGCAGCTCAACTTCTCAGAGGACCTGTACTTTGAGAACGGCCTGCAGAACCTCAAGGCCAGTGCCCAGCGGAGCCTCAAGAAGCTGCGGGAAAAGGTGGACCAGAACCTGTGAGTGGAGCGGTCAGCGTGGCCTCAGGGACTGCCCACTGGGTGGCGGTGGGGGGGTGTTGCCGGAGCTGGCCTGGTCCAGCTTGGGGAGGGTGCTGGGCCTGGATCCTCCCTCAACACCCTCACCTGGGGGAGGGGCACCAAGAGGAAGTGGCTCTCGGGATTGACCAAGACTCTGTGGGCATGGCCAGCTCGACCTTGGCCTCCTCAGGCAGGTTCTAGTCAGCCAGGACAGGATGGGCCCCGGGGAAGGGTCCCAGCAGACACAGGCCCCAAGTGACCCACCTGCTCCTCACAGCTGGATCATAGGAGCCGCGGTGGTCAACGCCTTCTACTCCCCAAACAGGAACCAGATCGGTACGTCCACCCCTTCTCCCCACCTGCCGCCCAGCCTGTCCTCAGAGGAGGCGGGCGTCCCATTTCACCCACTGTCCACCTTAGAAAGGTTGTCCCGTTTCCCTGAGCAGGCCGGGAGGGAGGAGGGAGGCCACAGGGAGGGAGGGGGAGGGAGGGATGCAGAGCAGCCCGCAGAGCGGTGGGACGGAGCTGGGGAGGGGCCTGGGTCTCCCAGCCTCTGAGCTCGTTTCCTCTTGGCACACTGACCTGGGGGCCCAGGGCCCTGGGAGGGTCCTGCCTGAGCCCGGCACGTGGCTAGGTGCTCACCGTGTGTGCTCTGTCCCCCGGGGTCAGTGTTCCCGGCCGGCATCCTCCAGCCACCCTTCTTCAGCAAGGAGCAGCCCCAGGCCTTGAACTTCGGGGGCATCGGGATGGTGATCGGACACGAGATCACACATGGCTTTGACGACAATGGTAAGAGGGGTCCCTGTGACCCAAGCGACGCCCTCCTCGTGGCTCAGGTGGGAACAGAGGCCAGGGTACAGGAGGACAGCCACCCCCCAGCTGTGGCGGCCACACCTCTGGAAATGCCTCGGAGCTGTCTGGAGAAGGAAGAACACAGGGGCAGAACCAGGGCTCCTGATGACTGATTTTCCCCCTGCAAGGCACAGGCGGGCCTGGCCTCCCTCCATCTCTGTGAGGACCTGCCGCCATGCCCACCCAGGGCCTCTGCACCCCCCCCGGGTGGCACTCTCAGGGCCCTGTGCCCCCCCCCCCGTGGCATTCTCAGGGCCCTGTGCTCCCTCCCCGTCGATGCAGGAAGGTTGGATGTTCCAGTGTCTCGGAGGCTCCAGGGGTGTCTCGGGGGCTTGGGCAGGGTCACGGGGAAGGCCTCCCTCTTGGGGAGGAGGGGGGAGCTCTCAGACTATGTGCCCCCCCACAAGCCTACAGATGCCATTCACAGCTGTCTCCGCCCAGGCTCTGGGCATTCGCTGAGGAGGCCCAGGGGGCCGCCGGGCACAGGGGGGCCTCCGCTGGGGACTTCCGTCTTGTCTGCGCAGGCCGGAATTTTGACAAGAACGGCAACATGCTGGATTGGTGGAGTAACTTCTCGGCCCAGCACTTCCGGGAGCAGTCGGAGTGCATGATCTATCAGTACGGAAACTTCTCCTGGGACCTGGCAGATGACCAGAACGTAAGCGCGCCACCCGCCAGCAGTCAGGAAGTGGTTCCCCACGGGAACCACAGTGGAAGGAGGGGAGCCAGAGCCCAGGCCGCCCCCCCCCAGCCTGTGTCTCCCGCGCAGATCAATGGATTCAGCACCCTGGGGGAAAACATCGCAGACAATGGCGGCGTGCGGCAGGCGTACAAGGTGGGCCCAAGGAGGAAGGCCTTGCCCTGGGCAGAGGCTGTGCCCAGCCGGAGGCCCTGGAGAGCCTGCACAGCCTCCTGGCCGTGGCAGGCACCCACACGTAACCTACTTAGTTCGTGATAGAGGCAACCTGTATCTCCAAGTGTGATAATGGGGTGGGGACTAACGCCTGCCCAGCCAGAAGTCCTGAGCCCGCAGCCTTCACTGCAGAAGTGCACTGTGGGGCTTGGCCAAGGCTCCGCCCCTCCCTGTCCCCCCCTGCCCCCCCCGTCCTGCCCGCCCTGCCTGTGGAACTGCTCAGATGGCTGATGGGGTGTCAGGTGCCCCATGCCGTCCTGGGGGACCCTGAGCTGGGGGACGGGTCCTGGGGCCAGACCCCCGTTCTGCATGGGGCCCAGTGACTTGAGAGCGCTGGCAAGCCCAGTCCCCCTGGGCTGCCGCAGGCTTACCTAAAGTGGATGGCAGAAGGAGGCAAGGACCAGCTGCTGCCGGGGCTGGAGCTGACGTACAACCAGCTTTTCTTCATCAACTATGCTCAGGTAGACACCCAGTGCTGGTCCACGGGCCGTCGGGGCTCCCGGGCCATCTGCCTCCAGAGGGCCCCCCTGCCACCGTGGGGTACCAGCAGGGATGTGGAGGGGCGAGCCCACAGAACCAGAGCCAGTGGGCCTGCGGGCTTGCTGGAGGAGCCGTGGGCTGAGGTGAGGAGCAGAGGTCCACAGAGACAAGGAGCGGCTGGCTCTCCCATCTCCTCCACAGAAAGGGAAGCCGGGGCCAGGGCGGTCCTGCGACAGCCACAGGGCACCCCTTCCAGAGGCTCCACCCCTACAGCCCCCCAGCCAACACCCCTCGTGCATCCACAGGTGTGGTGCGGGTCCTACCGGCCTGAGTTTGCTGTCCAATCCATCAAGACCGACGTCCACAGTCCCCTGAAGTACAGGCAAGCCTCCTGCACCCTGGCGCCCATGACCCCCCCAACAACTTCACCCCCCGCCAGGCCTCTTACACCTCTCCCGCTACCACCCGTCCGCAGGGTGCTGGGCTCGCTACAGAACCTGGCTGCCTTTGCAGAAGCGTTCCAGTGTGCCCAGGACACCCCCATGCACCCCAAAGAGCGATGCCGCATCTGGTAACCAAGGTGCAGCCGCACTGTGCGGCCCACGTCCACTCGCCGCCCCGAGGCGTCCATGCCTGCACGGTGCCCCCGCGCCTGGCGGCCACCGAGCCCACCCACCTGCCCTTGGAGCCTGCCCGGAGCGAGCCGCTGGCCGGGGCCTGGGATGCGCGGTGCCCTGCGCGGTGCCCGGCCCGGCGCCCCCGAGTCGCCAGGACCAGCGCCCAGCACAGCCCTATAGACGTGGCTAAATGTCTTCCACCCACTCTCCAAAGTGTATTCTCCTCAACTGTCCACAGCTTCAGACTTGAACTAAGTAAACGCTTCCAAAGAAAGCAGCTTTGTTTGTGCAGGAGGAGGGCACAGCACACAGGGCGGGCGGGCGGTGAGCTGTCAGAAACCCTGGCTGGGGGGGGGGGGAACGACAGGGAGGGCCTTCTGACACCTCCCCCGTCCTGGTACTGGCGATCCCACTGAGGCCACAGCGCACCGACTCAGGGAGCCGCGGTCAGCAGCTGCCCAGGGGGCCTGGCAGTATGGCCAGGGACCTGGAGTTTCAGCCAGAGGCTCAGACTGCTGCAGTGACAGGGTGGGAGCGGTGAAGGGGGGTGCGAGCCCACTGAGGAGGAGCCTGTGGTCAGCCAGGCTTGGACAAGTATGCCCAGAAAGCGTGAGGTGGCTGTCAGACCCGCTCAGAAGACAGAGTCCTTGAGACGGGGCAGCCAAGGTGGGGAAGCAGCTCTGCGGGCATCTCCTAGGACCCAAGAAAAGGTGGCTGGGAATTGGGATTCCACAGAACCAGAGCTCTGCGCTGCCAGCCACCCCATGAAGCCACAGATGGCGGTGCTCTGCCCAGAAAAGGGCCTGTGGCCAGGGAGCAGCTCCTGAGCTCCAAGGCGAGTCACAACCTCCCCCAAAACCCAAAAAGCTCCCCTGCATGCAAGCAGGGGTGCCTGCCCCCTCCCCCTTCTGCCCCTCAGGCTGAGCCTGAGCGAAGCCCCCCTCTCCAACCTCAGCTGGCCTCTGCCCTCAGAGGTGTGGCCAAGGCCAGAGGTCACCTTGGAAAAAATAACTCCACTGTCAGAGGCCTAAAGACTCAATGGGGCAGGCAGGCAGCCTCTCGCCTCCCCCTCCCAGACAGCAGCCCAGGCTACGAGAGGCGCCGGAGGGGGCTGAGACACTGGGGCTTGGAGGGGCGCCGGAGGGGGCTGAGAGGAGACACTGGGGCGTGGAGGGGCGCCAGAGGGGGCTGAGAGGAGACACTGGGGCGTGGAGGGGCGCACGGAAGGGGGCTGAGGGGAGACACTGGGGCGTGGAGGGGCGCACGGAAGGGGGCTGAGGGGAGACACCGGTGCGTGGAGGGGCGCACGGGTCAGGCCTGGGTGTGGAGGGGCGCATGGGTCGGGGCCTGGGCATGGAGGGGCACACGAGTCGAGCCTGGGCGTGGAGGGGCGCACGGGTCGGGGCCTGGGCGTGGAGGGGCGCTCGGGTCGAGCCTGGGCGTGGAGGCGCGCA